AGTGGTAGGTGTTTTTTACAATCTTTTTTGTATGTACAATCATTGAACATGACAAATTAAGTAGGCAATGTATTATTGAGCTCTTGGGTTAACTGTTCTCCAGGTTTGGATCATTACTGTAGAACAGCATTCACTGTTGTAATTGAACAAATCCTATTCAAGACAAAGGATGCCTTGAGCCAGGCAGCAAACCATCCTGGTCATGTAACGTTGGAATTCCATGAAGCCCACGAGACATTTACTCAAAAAGGTTGGTATCTTAACTCTTTACGTCTTAAGATTTGCTTGTTAAATCACCTTTAACTGCTATACATGTAACAATGGTGTCAGATGGAATTTCAACGTCCACGAAGCCCACAAAGAATTCACTCGGGAAGGTTTGTATCTTCAGCAAACTTTCTATCAATGGTGGCCCTCCACGGGAAAACGTGTGTAAAGGTAAACGCTCGGCGTTTCCAATCTCACGACTAATTAAATTTTCCTCTTTTATGGCACGATAAAGGCGTTCAAAGCTGCTAGTGCAAGAAAAACAATAATGAGTTTGGCGCGATTTGTACCTTGTAGAATGACACGCTCGTAAGCACGCAGTTCAAGTGAGCAAAAAGTACGCTAGCGTGTGATTGGTGCGCAGTTCAAGTCTGAGGTTGAAGACAATGTTTGCAGATTAGACAAAGTTGCCATATCTTTAGACAGAAAGCCTTATACCTCATTCGTACCAGCAAAACATGTTTAGTTAAACTGGGTCTAAGTGAGTAAAAATCAGAAGCTGAAAACTGAAAATCTGAGTTCTCTATAGAATTCAAATACTCACTAACTTTTATTTTCGATGTGCTACGTTTCAAGTCGACAAACATCGATTTAAAAAGCTTCTATGAAGAAAACAAATTTAAACCGTGTGTAACAAAACAGCTTTGAAACATGTTTAAGTTTTTGTGTGAATGCGATTTGATATTCAAGAAAGGCAGGTATTGCATACATACATACATACATACATACGTACATATGTAGGTTAATTGACCGCTCCCCATAGGAGCTTTTCAGGGTCAACACCACCCATCCCACCCAAGGGAGGACATCCGCCACACATTAATCTCGTGCGTGGGAAATTAACGTCTCCTACCCCTAACCCTGCAGGAGACGGGGCCTACGGTTTATTCGTCCTTATCCGAGAAGACTAAAATATCTATCCATTTCTTGATGAAAGAAAGGTAGCAAAGGTATTGTGCATGCTGAAAATGACGTGTACCTTAACCTCACGTACGATGAACTAGATCTGGTGGGGGTTAAAACTATCCGGAATTCTTTCTAAGGGGATGTACATTTAGATAAAACCTGGCCCTGGTAAAAGGGTTTTGATACTTACTGAAAGTGCCCCTTTGTTGTCGAGCGAGAGAAACGAGAGAGGGTTTCGCCAGCGTGATAACAACATTCTGTAGCATTGCAGCCGCCAGCTGGAAAAAAACACTGCACTCTTCGGGGACCGAAGTTTCAACAGCTTGTTAGTGGATGTAATGCGGCTTTAAAGACATTGTCGTCAACTTCTTTTAAACTACCTTTTTTTAATGGGAAAGTATCCTCATTTTTCTCTCAATGACATCTCTGGGTACTGTGTATCAATAGAGGTATTTGTTTTTCAGTGTTAGCGATGTTTCTGGGCTGGCTGTTGATGTCGGCGGTCGGCGCTATGTTACAGTTCATGTACACTGCACAAGAAATCGACACAAAGTTGTTCATTAAAAGCTGCGGCTGTGGCTGTACCAGTGATGGTGCGGAGCCTGGTGACAAAGGTGTCCGCTACGTGGTCCTTCCTCCACCCAAATTGAGGGCATTGCTCCTTCATCAGAACGATACTACACCGTTGATGAAAGACTCCTGGGATGACATCACTCACGTTGAGTTAGATAGCAGAGGATTAGGAACAAGCCAACGTTGGCGGCGTTAGATATACTTTGATTCCGGACTCTGACATTTAGAGAGATTTTGCGTCGCATTTACGTGAAACGTGAACGGCAAGAGTGAACACATCACTTAACCCTCCAGAATTTCATTTTTCCCGCCGTTTTTTTCACTTTTCCCGCCTTTTTTTCACGTTTTCTGGTTGTTCTTTGCCGTTTCTACGTGAAAGTAGCCTGTTGCACGTTTGCTGTGTAAGATATTCTTCATGTTTTCTCTTAAAGAGTAGTAGTTGCCGGAAAAAGGGCACCAAAGCTATTTCTTGTAAGTCATACGAGGGCGCCTTCAAATTCACCATGACGTGAGCTCACGCGAAGCTAAAGCAGCAAGGTTCACGCTATTTTACGTGAAACGTGAAAGGGCATGCTGGCGTTTGCCGTTTCACATAAACGCGTTGCTAAGTCTCTATTAATGTTTACCAGTCAAGGTGTCGCGCTACTGGCGGGAAGAAACGTCGCCAAGTCAATATTTCGTGAACACAGAGGTCAAACGTCTGTACATGTGTGAACGTTGTAATAACTTATATGACTAGGTAGCGTGCTCTTAGGTTCTCAGTACCAAGTTTTCTCACGAATTACAAACAACCCCACAAGCTGGTGTTTTAGAAGCAGGTAACTTTTTTGGTAAAACTCAAAAACAGAATGATAAATCAACAGGGTACCTGTACTTCGATAAGCTTGTGTTCTAGAAGTCCGAGTTTTCCTTTTGCCTTGTATTGATTCCTTTTACACATTTCTTTGAGTATTTCAATTTTCTTTTGCTCATTTTGCGAGACAGCTGTTGCTTCCTAACTTTCCCTTTGAAATTTTGCGCGGGTAATTGGCACGCGGGCGACCAAATTAATCCCCTCGCGCATGCCCTACGTTTGACTCTTGTGTTCACTGCGTGACTTCTACCTCTGTTTTTGTACTGTGATTTTCATCAATACTGTGATCTATTGTAAAAGCAGGTGTCTCTTGGTTGTCACGCTACCGGGGGAAGAAATGTCGCCTTACGCAGCATTGGATAATTTTGTAGGTGATAAGGGGAAGTCTTGAGATGATTTATCAACGCGATAGTGACTGCTACGGTCTCTGCCGGTCGTGAAATTTATGTTAGTTTTTTAGATTTTTGAATTTATATTGTTAATTGATTAATAATCGTTGATTAGATTAGTGTCCCCAATCAGCTTGTGCTTTTACAGCTAAATACATTTGACACTTAAGTAAAGTTTTTATTATTATTTGTTATTACCAGATGAGAATTTTTCGGTGGGGGAATTTTACTTGCTTCATTAAACTTGGACCATTACGTTAAGTGTTATCGCTTTCTTTAACTTCACCAAATGATTTCACTGGAATTTATTCTCTCCCACTTCTAAATTATTATGCAAGCGCCCACTCTATAATAACATTCTGAGGAAGGTTATCTGTCTCTAAGAAAATTTGGTTTTATCAACTGAGTTGATAATGTAAATTTGCCGCAGTAAAGAGTTTCTAAAGCTAACGTTTGAGCGTTCATTCCCTTCTTACGAAGGGCTAACGCTACAAAGGTCACTCCTAGGAACTCTTTACGCTAGTAAAATTACATCAACTCAGTTGATAAAACCACATTGATTTGTAATATCCTCCAACGATGCAGCAGCACAGTTTCTTTAGTAACTTAACTCCTTTATGATATATCTATTTCTAACTTTCATGAGGGGTGAGCAATCCTCTTCTAGGGTAGCCAAGGGTAAATCAGGCAGTCACTGTCCAAAAAATATTGTTTTTATTTCATTTGTTCGCCTGTCAGCCCAAACTTGATCAGCGAGACAAAAATAACCGATGACTTGTACCTTATGCAGACACCATCAACTTTACCTTTTCTCTCACATGCATCGGCTTAAATTTTAAGGAATCACTACCGTAATCGAAACAAATCGGTAGTTACAATTTACACGAAACAGACCGGCGAGGCGTTGTACTATTGAACGTAGAAAGGTGTCTCAGATGTCTATGGAAGATTTCAACCAAACGAATTCACAGTGTACGTGTTGTAGACCAAGATGGACTTAGACGAGGGTCTTAATTTCACCAAAGAAGCGACGCAGAAGATACTTGACAAGTTGGTTTATAACAAGTGTGTTTTACAAGTTTATACTGTAGTGAATGTAGTTTTCATTTTTGTACTCTGCTTGCTGAGTTCCATGTGGTTGTAAAGGGAAGTCTGGTTCTTCTTAGACGAGGTACCAGTTACACCTGGTGTGTTATGAATATGGCACCTGTCTGCTGTACTTGAGTTAACACTTGCGTTCTACGAGTTGTTCGAATCATTCGAGCTTTTGATCACAGCACGCAGTAATTAACATGTTCAGTTTGCGGAGCGCGACTTCAATTAGAAATTGAATCACAATGGAATAGGCAAAAACACTAACTTAAAATTCTGACAGTAATTTTAAACTGAAGCATATGAAGTTATCATCAGTTTCCCAAAGAAGCTCTATTTTATCCTGAGTGCGACGCCCAGATGTTCAGTTTATTAACAAGAAAATGATAAAAAGTAGACATCTACGACGTAATGAATTTGAAGAGTTTCGAGCGTTTCGATGTTTCGAGCGTGAGCCCTTCGTGGGATCAAAGCAACATGAAGGAAAACCATCCAAACTTCGGTCCTTTAATCTACCTCTGTCAGTACCAACTTTTGATTGGTATTCAAGTGGGTGATTCAAATCAAAAAGATTGGTTAAAATTTGACGCTGAACACAATTCATTGACCCTATAGCTGGGAAAAAGCTGGTAGTGACAGAGGTTTCCCTCTTCAAGGTCTCACAACGTATCAGTTTTTATGAGTTTCGTACCATGGTTAATATACGCGTCTTAGTTTAGCTGTAGTCTGTTCGTTATGCTGTGGTGTATTTTATTGCAGGCATCCAGCAACTGTGATTGTTATCGAGATATCAGCAGTGATTGGTGTAGTGGTGTGGGCCGCTGGCTACCGGCTTATTAGGGTAAGTAAGAGTAGAAAACAGGGTATAAATTCGTAAGGAGCGCCGCCCATTTTTAACCGGCCCAACAACTAAAACAATCTTCAAGAATTTTAGATGATAATTGTATTTAGGCTCCGAGTACAAATTTAATTGATTTTAATTTCACACTTCACTGTACATAAATAAATGTAAATAATATAATGACAACCCTCTTTTCTCTTTTTCAGCCATGCATGTTCCTTGCTGGATTTGTTTTAGGATTTCTCATTTTCTACGTATTCAGCCCTCTGATCTTTAAGACACAACTGTGCTGTGGTCCTAACGGAAAGGAAATAGGTCAGTAGATTCGCTGTAAAGTGCTGCAAAGCGTTGCACTTCAAATACGCTCCCCCCTTCTCCAAACTCTTCCCGCCTTGTAGACGCCCCTCAGGGAACTGGGGTGAGTTTCTGTTTGACTTTTATCACTTAGACCCCTTCCAAGTGTAAGTGTCACCAGCCGTGCTTGAACGTTATTCAGCTCTGTCCTTAAGGGAGCTGCGTACAAGAATTGCAGACCAACATGTCATTTCGAGTGATTGTTCCTCGAGTAGCGCGGCCTTCAGTGATTAATATTTAACCGCCTCCCGGTTAGCTCAATGGATAGAGCGCTGGACTGTTGTGCGGGAGGTCGAGGGTTCGAGCCCCGGCCGGACCAACACTCAAGGTCTTAAAATAACTGAGAAGAATATGCTTCCTTTCTGTAACATCAAGAAATGGTTAGATATTCTAGTCTTCTCGGATAGGGACGAATAAATGGAGGTCCCGTCTCCTGCAGGGCTAGGGGTAGGTTGGGTGGGTGCTTACAGGGCCGTTCTGAAAACCACTTCTGTGAGAACGCACCCTGTCTAAAGATTATTATCTATCTATTTATCTTGACATCATGCAAAAACATTTACACCACGACAAGATCCTTCCTTGGTTATCTGACTCGAAAAAGCAGGCTCAGCGGGGGTAGGGGGGGACCTTTTGGTAGGTAATGACACCTAGGGTCCCGTTTGAAATGAACTGCTATCAATTCGTCACACTTTTAATATCACTCATCATGTAAATAATTTCGAATAATGACAGGAGGTTAAGCCTATCAGCACAACAAGACACAAATAAACGAACAAGACTTGTAAACAATTGCTAGCACTGCATGTGTACGTGGAGTAGGTACCGCCAAATCTACACCTCATGCAAAGCCTCCGCTACAAAAAGCCGCCTTGTCAAATTGAATACTCTGCATAGTTAGATTGCAAGTCCATACAAATCAGGCAGGCGTTGACGCCTGAGTAAGTCTCATCGAGCTCTTTTTGTTTTTGTTACATCTTTTCACTAGCCCACGTTTTGTTCAGTGCATTAGTCGGTGTATTCGGTGGATTTTTAGGATGTCGATTATACAGACTTGGCGTGTTCACAATCGGAGAGTGTCTAGGCCTGGTGAGTAGTACCAGTTTTTTCTCTATCAAAAAACACGGGAACCGAAAAAAAAAAAGTGCAACATCAGCCCGTATCTTTTGGCTCTATATACGAACAGATACAGTTTCACCACGTAACACGATAAAGCAGTACTTAATTTGTTAAATGCCCATCCCACTGTTTAAATAGTATATTTTCCTCTTCTCCAGTATTCCCTTGATAAACTCTTTATGTTCACCGACGAACGGCAGATTTACATGCTTGTTACTCAGCGATCTGCGGCTTTACCACTAGTACTAAACCAAATACAGTGAGTTTGGTCGATAATCTATATAGGCTTCTTTGTATGAGATATTACATGGTTTTCTGCTGTTTGAGCTATGCTATTTGACAAGGTTTCATGTTTGTGTCAAGACGCTGTGTTGAGACTCCGTTTACTGTATTCCCTTGATTAACTTATTATAAATATTTCGCGCCTAATTTATATTCACCGACGAACGGCAGCTTTACATGCTTGTTACTCAGAGATCTGCGGCTTTACCACTAAACTAAACACAGTCAGTTTGGTCGATAATCTATATAAGCTTTTTTGTATGGGATATTACATGGCTTTCTAATGTTTGAGCTATGCTATTTGACAAGGTTTCATGTTTGCCTCAGAACGCTGTGTCGAGACTCCGTTTGCATTCTTGTTGTGCGGTCAGTTTGAAGAGTTAAGATGATTGAAATCAATTTTGAGTTTCTTGTTTTTCAGCTTGTTGGCCTCACAATCCTTAGCTCTCCACTTTACAAGTACTTTCATAGGTATAATTTTCATGATGTTTTGATCCGGACTACGATTGCTTTCTTTCAAAGCTGCAACAATCTTTTTAAAGTAGAGATATTACAATATTGAGTTAACCATCGCAAATTCCTCTCTCCTTTTCAGTAACATTGCATATGCCGCTTTGATGGCAACAGTATCACTGATGTTTGGATCGCTGGCTCACTTCTATGAGAAACTGGTCGTAGTCATAGCAACAGCTTGCGCTGGATCGTTTGCTGTGTTATATGGCAAGCATAATTGACTTACCTTTCCTACTCGTCAAGCTTCGTAAAACGGACCGTGAATCCTCCATTTTATCATACATATTAATAAAAAGTCTATAAATTAAGATTAACCCTTTAACCCATAACAGTGACTACCATCTGATTTCTTCTTGCAATATGGGCCCTGAATCATACATTGAGGTCACTAAAGGAAATGATCACCAGATAAAGAAGCCATTGAACGCTAAAAAATTCTCCTCGTCAGCACCTTAGGAAATGTATGGAGTATAGAGAATATGCATACCGGCGTTAAAGAGTACAGAGTAAAAGTTACTCAAGTTAAAGCAAGTGGAAAATTATATCTTTTTTTTCTTGTTTTGTTTTGTTTTTCTCCCCTTCAGGAGCTGATTATTTCCTTCGGACAAGTTTTTCCGTCACAATTGAGGCCTTTCTGTTAAGAATCCGGGACGTTCTTTGGGACGGGCTGAAATCAGAGCTTTCTAATTGGACCTACAGGGCTAAAGTTCCCGACCATTTGGCAGTCCGTTTTACGAACAACTGTGAGTACCCAGGAGTTTGCCCGTGATTAGGTTTATCTTTGAAATGACATGCTTTAGAGAACCAAGTGGCTTTCTATCGTCTTAAGAGGGGGGGAGTGGGGGTTGGAGGTTTTTCGGGGGGGACGGGGCGGGTATCAAAAGCTGGGCTTCAGAAAATTGAGAGGGGGATCATTATAATGAAAGCCTTAGTCACTGATGTCTTAATTATTCGCGCATCAATTCGCACACTACTCCAGAAATTCTAATGAGGCAGAAAGCCCTCTATCACGATAAATGCATCATGGAATTCATGTATTGAAAATTTTTCCTAGAAAATTGGAAAAAATTGTAAGTCGAAACCCAGTTTAAACGCTGCATTAAGATAATAAAACAAGTGTCCTGCAAAAAAAAAAAAACACTTAAGTGCGCAAGGCTGTTTCGATGACAACAGGTCTATAACGTTCTCTTTGACCCCCAAGAGTGACCAGTATCTAACTTCTCCTTACAAAATCACCGCTGAATCACATCTAAAGGTCACGAGAATAAAAGAAATGATCACCAACTACAGCTCTTGAATTGTTGATCAAATTCTCCTGGTCAGCACCTCAGGAAATGCGTAAAGAACATTATGAAGAATATGCATACTGATGTTAGGGGGTAAAGAGCGAAACTAGTATTATTTTATTCATCTTTCCAGTCTTTCTTTTTTTCTCATTCCTCTGCAGCCATTCCATTATTTATTTGTTGGGGTGTAAGTGCAGTCCTTGGATGTGCTCTTCAGTACAAAGTAACAGCTAACAACTTAAACAGTAACTCCAATCTTCTACAATTCTGCAACTGCTGCGACAGACCCAGACCCGATAGATGACCAATCTCGAATCGCGGCCAAAGAAGCCGGTTTATCGTTGACTATAATCTCCTAAAGTCAATTTTATAGCTAATCGTGTGCAATGGAAACTGGCCATGTACAGATCACGAGCTTTCCACGTATTACGAACCAGCCAACCAGAAGATCCGAAGTGACTTCTCTGAGGAACGCATGTCCCGAAGCAATAACATGAATGAGCTCACACCCTCGATAAAGATAAAAAAAGGTTCGAGAGTTTGAGATACCACATGCATAGGCTTCACACTTTTCGATGTCTTTGTAATTTAAGGGTGGAGAGAATAATGTTTGAAAAAGTGTTTTATCATAAAAGTGTTGGAAGTTCATCTTTAAATCACGGTTCTTTTGAAATTTGAAAATGCAAACTAAACAACAGGAGGCATCTTTGCCGTGAACAGCAAGAAACTTGTGACCAAAATTCGAAAAGTATCCTTCTTTGGTTAATCTTTTGATTAAGAGGAATGAAAGACTTCTAAAAACAGTACAATTCAACCTTTTCATAATCAAAGTGAAATTTACTTACACCTTCATTACCAAAATCGAAACACTTAAATTTCCCTCACTGAACCCACTAGGCAGGTTACAACGGATATTGCATACAATTATTGCAGTTCTGTAAGCGCAAATACAGATTAAATTATACTAAAAAAAATACCTCTGTAAAAATCATCTCCACCCGACGCAGACGACCGAATTTGATCACTTTCCGTGCATCAAGTTGTCAGTTTTCGATTGGTTAATCAGTGTCTAAGCGCTAAGCGACAACAAAGAAGCGAATTTTGCACGGATCAGTGATTCGATTTATGTGACATACAGGTACCATGCAGTACTAAGGGTTCAGCAAGCTATCAAGACAAAAGGGGGGGCCAATAATGACGCTAAGGGGTCGTTAAGAGAGGTAAACCATTACTATATGATGGTTACACGTTAAAAGCTTGTTATTCACAGACAAGCAATCACCGTTGTAGATTTGCTCGTAAGACGAGTTCTTCTTAAGACGGATGAGCGACAAGAGAAGGAAACAGAGATTTCCTGACAAAGTCTTATAATGTTGGTTTCCCTATGGGTGTACAACTTTCCTCTTTTCCTTTGAGCGAATCTCAGCATTCTCATCATTGTATACGCTGAGTAGTCGGAATTTGAGTAATTGGGATGAGGTAAATAGCGGTAGAAACCATGTAGTCATAGTTCATCGAAGTTTAAATGTCCCAGGTGGTAATACAAAACCAAAGGGAAACATCGAATTTTAAATCCAAGGGTTCGCTCAATCAGCCATTGGCGACCAGGCTCTTTCACAGATTTGTCCAGTCGATTGATAACAAGTTTCTATTAGATTCCAGGCAGTGCGCGACTTCCTCAGCCACTGAGTGAGTTTGCCATAGTTTCTCCAGTTTACGATATCGATCAGGGCAAAGATACAGTGGGTTACCCCTCCTAATAAAAGAAATAAAAAAACGATGAACTGAAGTGCTATTGTTGTTGTTGTTTCATTTTAAAAAACTTTACAGAGAAGACTTCCACCAGCTTTCGAACTTTGCAAGGGAGTAAAAATGAAACTTCACATACTTTCCAATATTCATAATAATTAACAAAGACAAAACAGAACAACAAAATTTACGAGTAATTCCGAAAAGGATTGTTAGATCTCTTTCTCACGGCAAAATAGTTGATTGACCCATTATTAAAGATGCCGAAAATTCAACAGTGCTATTATTTAAAAGCTGAACTATAAGCGCATTTTACTCACGCTCCCCTCTCAACCCATCCATGCCATTCTACTGTCCATAAAATTACTCCTTATCAACTCTCATCCCATTCAACCGAACTACGCTAAAAAATTGGGGAGTTTCCAAGCTCAGAAGAGATTAATATGCAACTTCTCTCTAGAATATCCGTACGTTACCCAGCAAAAAGGCAATGAGAATACTCAAACTAATCAGGTAGAAGTTGTTACCTCGATCTAACACCACATTCTCGTGCCTTATTTCGAAGAAATTTGTAACAGCTAGAGGGGAGAATGAACAATCAGATCTTTGGAGGTTTAAGGGTTAAACTGGACCCAGAGTTTCCGCGTTACATTTGCTAAACGTCACAGGGGGTAGGAAAAATCTTTCATTCACTCACCTCAGTCCTTGGTCGGTCTCGCCGTATGCATCCAAATAAGGAGGCGAGTAAAAACATCCTTTGTTCTTATTGGCCATCAATAGGATATGACACTCACGCACGCGTAAAAACACACCAACTCCTGCACCACATTTTCGGGCATGCGCAGCACATGCACCGACTTTGTCTCCCTCGATTTCCGTTTGGCAGCAGTAGCTTTGAGAGCAAAGCATCTCGCCGCAGATCAAACATAATGCTGGCGCACGACTATCATCACCGTCAGAATTTGGGCAGCTGGAAAAAGAACAAAGTTGCAACTTTAAAAATGACGATGACGATAACACTGATCACGATAAAGACAGTTCTAATGATAATGACAATAATTATAATGAACTTACGTAAACATTGAAGCTTGGTTGATTAACTCGCTGTAGTCCACAGGAATCTTCAGCAAATGATTGGGTTCAATAGAATACCTGAGGAAAATACAGCGAATTCATTTAGAATGAAACGTAGCACCGACAACCTGTCAACACAACGCCTGAGGATTTTTAAAACGTTCCTTCTCTTCTTGGTTTCGACCTTACGACCACTTTAATCCGCAAAGCCAGTCCTTCTAACACAATCTTCTATTATCCGGAAACAGTCCGAAAACAGTTAAAAATGTTAACTTCATGATGGTTGTTCATACCATGTTCATACGGTCATCACAAAAAAACTTCACTTACCCGAGCAATTCAACTCCCGCAGTAGACAAAGTTTTCCTGACGTGTTCGTGGCTGCACCACCTGTAGAAAAATCCAAAGCAAAACAAAACAGAACAAATTTGTCTTTGCAAAATATTACTCGCGTTAGTTTACCCCAAATTGCACCCGAAATATATGACTACCTTTAAGAATCAAACACGGCCGAACGATGCACGACCTTGAAAGAGCTTGAATACGGATACAAACCTTTTGATGGTGGTGGAGATAGTAGACGAACTAACATAAGACCTGTCTTGATTCCACTGCAGTAAGTGCGTCATGTCTGTGGGCACTGTAAGGTATCGGCTCAAGCACTCGATCTCCTCGGTCAACGATGGTCGGTGGGAATCTGAATCACACAAATAAATTCACTTGCAGCGCATAACTTGACAAGTATTTGACGATTGTAATATCTCTTAGGTGACTGAAAACATGGTTCTGTCCTGGTGTACCGGTTCACAAGAGCCAATACAAAAGACCAAACAATACACAATAGTTAACCGAGAACTCCTAAACAAAGAAAGAACAATGGTAATTCCCTTGTGAACCGGTACACGAGGACAGAACCGAAAACATGCTTTTTAGAATGGTAACTGGTGTAGTTTTAAAATTTGCGCTAGCGCTCAAGCTACCCCTTGGCAAGGGCAGGAAGCTTCGAAGCTTTTCAACTCTTCCAAAATCACGCATTTCTCCATGGTTGAAATACCATAGTCAACAAGCAAAAGTAATAACATGATTTTGGGTGCAATTTGGTTTTTATAAGAGCGAGTAAATTGTTCAAAGTCAAAAACATTGTACGAGCCTATAGGGCAAGTGCAATTTGTAGTCTTTTGAAAATTTACAATTGCCCATTTACACCAAATTGCACGAGTAATCATGTTCTTACTTGTTAGTAATTTAATTTCATAATTTAAATAACAATAATAATAATAATAATTTAATTTAATAATTTAAAAAGCATTACAGAAAGTCAAGACAGACGAAACTTTGAGGCTACGTGCGCGCTACTTGCAATTTGCACTCGCGTTACATGAAAAAAGGAACTCGTTTTCAGCCAATCAGACGCGCGTATATTTTTCTTGATGTGTAAGAAAGCACACCACCAAGCCACTACAATGTTCGCACATGCACCGACGTTTGACCGCAGTGTCAATATTACTATGGTTTCCTTAGGCGAGCCGCGAGTACTGTGCACGCTTTTCAGCAATCAGTCTCAACTTCCACTTTCTAGGTTCACGCGAAAAACAATGTCAAAAAAAGAAAACTACAACGAAGTAAATGAATTCGTTAAGGGGTCTTTTTGAAGATCAGACTTATTCATGACAGTAACTCAAATTTTATTACTTGTTCTCTGCTGGAGACGTGCTGGTTACCTTTCAATAGAGACGGTCCTGGAACATCAGTCAGGAAATGAAAGAAGAGAGCCGAACAGCGCAGGAATGGTAACAACTGCGTTGACACGTGTCTGAGAAGCTCCTTTGGCATAGGATGTGGAGTAATGGACTGGGAACTAAAACAAAAAATTAAACAATTAAGTTATTATCAATCAGTTACACCATTTTCACTTAAAATAGATCGAAAAATAAGGCTCTGGTAACTAAAATGTCAACTGCAGAATTCGAGTGTAAAACCCGTACAGACCATTTTGGTTCTTTGGCGGCTGTATACTAAGAGCCGAAAGCTTTCCTTTTAAAAATACTTATCAACCACAGGAGAAATTTTAAGCATGAGTATTCATTGTTTTACATTAGTTTTAATGGTGCAAACCAAACATAATTTAATGTTATACTCAGAGAGCCGTGAACACCAGAAAGTATATCTAGAATAAGCCACTAGAAGTGAGATAATAAAACGGGTAACAGAACCTAGAACGTGGCTTTCCAGTTTGCAAAGATGGGTTACTCAGAGAAACAAATACATTATCCATATCTATCCAATTTAGGTCGAATTAAAATAACGTGACATTCTCTCTTTCTCCTCACCACCCTCAAATAAGGAGGGCTTACGCTAAAGAAAAAGCACAAGGGTGCGAGAGATGAAAATCGTTATTGAATAACTGCAAAACTCAATCGGAATTACAATATAAGTAAAGTTTTCAGTTAAAGTAGAGAAAACAAGTATTTTCATTACCCGGCCCAGTGCTTCAGTTTACCCCACACGGCGGCTAACTTAACAGCCTCGTCTTGAAGTGGCCCCTCCTGGTCCATTGGTTCCCCCTCGTTGTCAGCATCTATCAAATAATGACCGCTAAGTGAATTGTGCCAAGAAAAATAAACGAGAGCTCATGTGGCGGTCTTTTCCGTGAAATTTAACTCTCCTAGACATCTTTTCTCGCTTAGCAAAAACGGTTAAGACTGCTTCATGGACTGGAATTAACACCATTCGTTTGAGTGCTGTAGATCCAAGAGTAAAGAAGTTACCACAGCCAATCAGGAAAAGAAAAATATCACGATGGGCCGATGAGAACTCAAATTAAAACAACGAACTTCCCGTAGCGCGGGAAAACGCGGCTGGCCATGTCAGAGCTTTGCATCTGATTGGTGGGATGGATGGCGCGAGTTTCCTAGACCAATCACAGAGCGAAGTAAGCAAACCAATGGAATCCTGGATTACTTTCGCCACTCAGGTCATTAAATTATTTAATCTCTTCGACCAATCACATGAAAATCCAAAACTAGCCCATTGTTTTACCTGGAAGATCAGGTGACGTGCAGAGCAGTATTTGCACAATACGCGCCATCAGTGTGAGCTGAAAAACACACTGATCCATTGTCACGGGAGAATTCAGACCCACAATGCTCTTCAAAACGGGCGACGAACCACCATCACTAGACTCCTGATACAACATGCTCGGTAGAACCAGGCGGAGCTTTACCTGGTCATAAAAACAAAAACCTTGAATTTTTGTTTCGTTGACACAATCCAGTTAAATCAGAACATGAGGTGAGTTTTGTTTTTTTCTTTCAGCATACTTTTCGCTAGATAGTCCCAAATGCAGAGATTCGGGCAACTGAAATCTACATGATACAACTGCTACTAAGTTACTTTTTTTCGCTTTAAAATGAGTTTTCAGCGTCAAAAAAAAAGTAAATAAACACGTGGGGTCACCTTGCCAACCAACAAGTTCCGCGAAAAAAAAAAAGCCGTGACTTTGTTGCAGTCTGCGCTCCTCACGCGAGAAAATTTGTAGCAGTAAGGATGCGCAATACAACATTACGCAATATTAAACACTGAAACAAGGTTCTGTAAGTTGACAAGAAAAGCAAAATTACCCCGTCAGACATATCACGTGCGACACAGATAAAGCTTTCAGGAGCTCCATCTTTCCAACGACAGTCAAGATGACAATAACTACTAACCATTAAACTGAAAAGGTCCAGCTCCAGGAGAGACGGACCTGCAGTGCCAGGAACCGCGTCGGGTGTTAGGACTGGGGTCAAATAATAATAACAAAAAAAATCAGTGGAGACAGAGGAGCAACAAACAATGATCCCGGTTACAGTACTTTTAAGCAACGATAGTCGCCTGTGCTACTCCAAGAATTAGCTCCAAAGCCACAAGCAGGTGCACACTGGTAAGTGGCACACAGTTGTTATTGCTGGAAGCAACAGAAAACCAGCTACCATATCTACATCGTGATATTACCAGTATTTCGATCATCAAGTACCAAACGATACCCTCCTCGACCCGACTTCGTGGTGATGGGACGTGAGCTGTGGGTTGCCTTAGGGAGCAGGGGAATGTCAGAATTACGGTATTTTCTTGTTCCAACATTTCCGTTCCACAGTCACTCTCATTGGTGGGTCTAGCCTTCCCCCCTTTCCCTTCCCCTCCCCATTTCCCTTGAATATTCTATGGAGCGCCTGTTCCTTTTTATCTTTTACCCCTCCCTTCCTATGTCCCCGACAACGCATTACAGTGCAAGGTTTTGAACAGAAATATACCAGTGGCCCTTTTGGCAAGAGTGTGTGAAATGGCTTCCACTGTCAATAAACTCGGACGATCGAGGATAAAAATTTGAGAACGACGCTTGGTCAATTTCCCAACGATCCTATAATCTACTTCTGAGCTTCAGGGAACCGGTAGGTAAAAAAGCCCGTACATTACGTTCAAACGTGAGGAATTCATTTCTATTTACACACACAACGCTTTCGATATTGCTGAACCTTGCAGCATGCGGGACGCTTGTCATATAAAACAAGAACATTGCCCTGCTTCCCAGCGAGTTTTCTGTGGCACATTGGGTTCTCTGCGCCTCAGTGGACCTCTCAAAAGACTAAGGTTCGAATCCTTACAGGAAGAGATTTCTTCCTTGTCCACCTTGCTCGTAACAAATAAATAACAGCTTTCCTTATTTTACGAACGAGCCTCTTTTTTTACCAGATAATAACCGCAGACAGTGCCTCTGAACGGCCTTGTTTGAAAATACTCCTGATACAACTGAAGCTTGGCGAGTTAACGCTGCCATACACTGAAACTAGGGGTGAATGTCAAAACGAAGATGTTATACACAAAAAAAAGTTAATATACATAGTAAACAAAGAACTCATATGTTTCACGATTTTACCTGGCGAGATGTAAGACCAGAGAAAAGAGGCTTGCCTTCCACTCTTAAAGCACTCTCTAGCAACAGCAAACGAAGGAAATTAGTCGGTCCCCAATGACAAAAAAATTTAACACATATTAAATAACTTGAAACGTCAGCTTTGGGAAAACTTTACAGTGTTCAGTTTATATTATCAACTCAGTTGATAAAACCAAATTATTCTGTAATACTCACACCGACACAACACGGTAGTTTCTTTAGAAAGTTACCCTCTGCATCCACTTTCTTACAATTTCTTTCAGTTTTAACTCACACTAAGCTAGCACCTCGCAAAACTGAGCACTTCGTCTAAAGATACACCTCTACCAAGAGGTCCAAAGAGGTCGCCTCTTACTCCAGAGGTAGCGCTGACTGCCTCGTGACGATGGATGGAGAAATGAATCAAATTAAGTTTGAACTTACCTCCACTTTGTATGGTATATGCACATGCTTCCCAGACCAACAGGGGAACACGTTTGTCGTCGTCATTAGGATCAACTCCCAATCCAACCTAAATGCGCACACACACGAAAACAAAATCAATTAATAAATGGAAACACATTTGTGATTAGTATCTAGGCTTTTTATAGAGTAATACCTCCTTAGTCCCTTATTTAACTATTTATCTATTTATTCAAATATCTATTCATCGATTTATTATTATGTTTATTACTATTATACTAATATTATACTATTATTATCATTATTATTATTATTATTATTATTATCATTATTATTATTATTATTATTACTATTATTATTATTATTTCTATCAACCCGACCGACTCAGGTTCACAAGAGATTGGGGGGAAAAAAAACTTTGTCGGGCTGGCTTAGCCAATTCCCCATTGTCAACTTGTTCGCACGCGCTCACTACAAATTTCTAGTAGGTTGTGCGATGAAATTTCGCAAAACAACAGTTAGAAATCACGAGTTTGAAGTTTTACCGTTTTTCTCCGAGGAAGTTTAATTTTACGCTTGGACTTTTTATTTGAAAAAAAATAAAAACAGAAAATAAATACACAAAAACAACAACACCTTCAGTGAAATAAAGAATTCCTTTAGAATGTTTAGGTAAAAATATATTTAAGCCATCACATATTTACTCACCGTGAAACAAGACTGTGAGAAGACCCGCATCATTTCTTTCAAATCATTGGAAAACTTCGTTCTTGGGAAGAAAAGTCAAAATGCATCTCAGGATATGCAAAGGGGACGCCAAGAAAAAAAGGGAAGTAGAAGACAAGACGTTCTAGCCTTACCCAGTTTTCAGAAGATTTTGAAATACTGCTTGGAATCTTTCTGAAACTGGTGATGTTCCTGGGCAGAGGAGGTAAACAATGTGAAAAGATTAAAACTAACAGATGGGGAGGGGATAGGGGTGGCGAACCCTTCGGACCCTCCCCCTGGATCTGCCTTGTATACTTACCTTCCTTCTTTTTTTTTAGTTCTTCATGTGATAACAGCTTGAGATTCGACGAGACCAATTCTTGCATACCGCTTAAAAATTCTGGGATTGTCACCTCTTCAACTCTACGGAAAGGAAGAAATGACACATTACACCATGCAATCAAAAATAAGTTTAAATAATCCAAAGGGTTGCTGTGTAAACATGTAACGATTTTCGTCTTTTTTTTTCCACAGGACTAAATTTACAGCAAAATTCCTAAACAAAGGAAAAAAGCCTGGGGCGCTCTGGGGAATCTGTTCCCTTTGGGAACTAAAACCATTTTATTTTATTTGGCACGGGTTACGCATTTTGATCTTCAAGTCTCATTGGTTCTCGTTACTGTTTTCATGCGTTATAATTGGTCCACAATCTTTACGACTCACATTAAAGGGAAAAATCATCTACTTACCCATCTCCCCGACAGTCGAACAGCGCAGGCACCACGGGTAGAACTGTGTTACTGATACAGCCGCACAATGGACAGAGATACTCTCTTCTAGAGACATCTACACTGAAATACTGTCCCATACGCATGGCTCTTCTCTCCTTGACCACCACAGATTGGTAGAATCCTTGCCAGCAGTCGCTATGCATCATGTGACCGCAGCTGCTAACATGGACTCCCCAGTAGTTGTCCCCTGGGGTGTAAAGGGGGTCTAGATCGTCACCGTTCTCGAACATTTTGCCACGGGATCGGGACAGCACAGTCGACCGCTGGACAAAAGAGGCTATAACTAAGGCTCGTCCGTCACTACTGACCTGTTACAGAAGAACAAACATTGCCGCACTAAAATAACTTTACAACGTTCCATTTCCATTTAACTTGACATGCTCTCACCTCTTGCTGTTCTTGGCACAAAATGCAAGGCTCGGTTGCATAATGTGTCGTTCGCACTCCTTTCTGACACCGCTGGACTCCAAGTACAACGGGCTCTTCACGTAAAACGACTTCGCTGACTTCTGCGATTGTCGACTCCGCTGTGTTGCACCTAGCACATACAGCAAAGTAACAATCCTATTGAGCATACTTTCTCTCAGTAACTGGTTGTTTCAATCAATCAATTAGAGGTTCTAGACAGATTTATGGAGGTAAATATCATGACTGTCGCTTCTTTCGGCTCAAACTTTGCAAAAATAAACGCACTTGGAGCACAAATATTTTTATCTAAGATCAACATCAGACGATGCAAGCGATGTCATATAGTTGTGTAAGATTAAACTTCTTTTTATTCCAATCCATTCCAGCACGGTTCTCTAATCTTTACTTACTCTTCATTTTCCATTGATGCTAGTAAAGCGGCGTTTTCTTTGATAAACGATCTCTGTAAAGCAGACATCTGCGCCATGATTTTAGCTCTCCTCTCCTGGGCAAGCCGAGCTCTCTTGGCCTTCTCTTCTTCCTGTGAAACACTCCTCTCGAATCGAGTGCGCTGAACTATACCCACCCCTTGGGGCTTTCCTAGACGCGCCTCAAGCTCCTCGTGGAAAGTCTAGGAAAGAAATTTGGTGACAATTACGGTCACAGCCTAAACAAACTTTCGAACTTTACAGATGGAATATTACAAAACTTGTTAAAGTAAAAACCCAAACTGGCAAAAAAAAGGAGGAATAGTACGCGATTTTGCGACAGCTTACAAATAACATTAAATTTAATAGAAATTAGAGGGATTTGCGTTCTTTTGCTATCACGCACATTCTGAGGATTGTAATAATATTTCATTATTTTTTCTCGTCTTTTAATATAACTAATATTTGAATTACCCAGCTACCTGCAAGTTTAAGCACGGAGGGAACGGATTTAAATTAATTGAACGTGATAAACTTGTTCATAGTTAAGTTAAATTTCTGAAGATGCCACTCAAATTCCAGAAAACAAACGAACAGAGAAAAACCTACTGATAATAATGGCAGGGAGCTACCTTTAAGATCCAGACCAACTGCCTAGCATGTTCCTCAGGAAGTTTACAGTTTTGCAATTTATCCAGTGTTGTTAGAAGACTTTGAGAATGGTCTGCAAAAACGTAGCATAATAAATCCGGGATGCATTACTTTACAATGTTAAGAGATAAGTCTTGAAAACTTGAAGAATTCTTTCAAGTAATCAGTTACAAAACCAAAGCCAAACTCTACTGGGCCACTTCTTCCTTTTTCGGCGCCTGAAACCAGGTACATGTTACAACTCTGAGTTCTTACTGGTTCCTCGAATTACTCCACTTAGTTCAGATTGGCCGTCAAAATTGGTTTAGTTTCCATATTGTCACATCGAAAAGGACCCTAAACACTGTCCAAAATGAACCAATCGCAATCATCTTTCTGTAATCGTCGCTATCTTCTCACGAAATGGGGCGATCAATTGGGAACCGAGGCTTTTAACACTGTTAAAAAAGCTTGTTAAAGGATGGCTTTACTGTGATGTGCACTGGAGCAAATGCAATAAGCATCTGTCTTTTGCGCATGATTTAACGGCAATAATACCATTCTGTGTCAAGAGAGTTATACTTTTCAATCCATTTGGTTTGACTTAATGATTAACACGGCCAATTGGGATACGTAAACCAGTGAATACCTCCTTGGGAAGTTGCCACGGAAATAAAGTTAAATTCGTCTGCCTTGTTATTCATTCTATGCCTTTTTTCTTCGTGAAGAGCAAGACAAATTAGATGAAGAACCTACAACAACAACAACGAAAAAATAGTTGGTGTCAAGTGGAAGAGTGAGTCTTTAGTCAGCGAAGTGACTATGGCACTGGCTTCTAGTCAGGTTTTTCAGACCAACACCAGTCACTACAGCAGCTGGTACTAATACTAGTGAGGGCATTGCAAGAATATCTAGTTTTAATGACTTTTTCTTTATCCGTACAGCTAACCTCTGGAATGCAATCCCTGATACAATTAAGGCAAATAGTACATTATGCATTTTCAAACAGAAATTTAAAGCTTTTTTCTTTGACCGTCTGAACCTAGTTTTAGACCATGACGAAGGTCTTGTAAGACTATTTGTCCTAAATGTCGTAGAAGCAACACTGTTGTTCAGTGTTCTTGTTAAGGTTCTCATATTTTAAAAATTAATTATAATATTATATGATATTATCTAGTCGGGTTGGGTTGGCGGTACACCTCGTGGGGACCCCTAGTCCTATTGTTTATTCACCTAGTACTTTGTGCTGACTGTACTGAATACTCAAATAAATAAATAAATAATTAAGTACTATTGAGGAAAAACCCATTACTTAGACAATAAAACCACAAGATCACCTTGGTATCTCAGACTAGGATGACAGGCAAATGTTTAGAATTACTTTTGAGTGGAGTGAACAAAAATTGTATGGCTTTCCAGAGCATGTCTCCATTTCAACATTCTCTCGCCATGAAAAAGCTTTTGATGTCTAACTGGCTGCTTACTTGTTGCACAAGCAAATCAGTAACAGCTCTGGCTTGAGCAGACTGCGCTCGCTGGAGAAGCGTGTTCATTAGTCCCACAAGCATCTTACTGGTCAGCAAGTTCAACACACTTTTAAAGGGTGTGCAAAACTCAGGAGGGATTGGTGGGTGATCCCCTATAAAAAAAAACAAAGTAGAAAGTTCAGAAAAGAGCGGCTCTAAGATCAGTGCAATATATTAAGATATCCAAGATTGATTTGTGTTTCTTTTTTACAGTAGGTGACTCGGCTGTAAGTGGCGCTTTTCTCTCAAGGAGTTATGTTACCGTGTTACATATGGGGCTCCGCTAACGCGCTTAGCGCCACCTTTCCCCATTGCTTTTTTCCCTCGATCCGATTTGCCTTTGTGATTATCGTAATTTAAATCACTAATTCGAACAGAGCGCCATGAGATCATCAACACTATCTTCATGGGAAAGAACTACAAAATCGTTAGTCTTACCCCTAACTTCTCGTTCACTTTTCCCTCTTTTACGCTGCTGTTCTTCAGCCTGTTGGAGATCATGTTCAAAGTTAAGTGCAATGCTGTACAAACATTTCTGAAACTAATGTGGGTGCGGGGAGTCAAGTTGTAGTCACTAAGCTGACAAAAAAAACTACACTTGAGGCAACCCAACGTTCGGCTATGCACGTATCAAGGTGATTCTTATTCTTTCGCTGGTCGCGTATTGGCGTGTTGAGATCATACTGGTTGTCTAGTATAGTTGATCATCATTCTAATTAGCCCCTTGCAGTAGCTTCAAGTCATTTTTTAAAGCCTTTCAAATGTGAGAAATATATATACCTTGGACTGCTCTACCCGTGTGTAGTGATAGAAGAATGGATTGTACTCCTTAAGACAATCTGGTTTCAGTTCATACAATCCTCGCCCTGTAACTCCAGGTTTTCTGCAAACCAGTATCAGTGCAGAAAAAAATCAGCGAGAAGCGTTTTTCAGCTCTACTTCGTTAACGTTCAAACGTGCACCTTGCGCTTCATCATAAAAGGCCACTCTTAACGATAAATTCCCTTTTTTATGCGCTAAGATTGAGAGCAGTCTACCATTTACTACTGTTTGTAGACAGTAAAAATAATAAAATAGTTTCGAGGTTAATGAAAACATGCCAAAGATTTCTTGAGGATGACAGACTCACAACTTTCGCGATCTTATGCAAGGACTTGCTAAATAATTTTAATCCCTAGTAGAGGGTTAAAATACCGTTTTGAAAAAAGTCTTTCAAAGACTACACGCGTCTCCAACATAAAAGAGAGGAAAAAATCAGTGGCATAGAGGTTTTTGAGATAAAGATGGCGATCAGAGAGCTAATACTTATACTGAAGTTTTTCGGCTCACTTTAACCTCAATGAATTAATTCTAGCATTTTATTCTAGACGAGGCAGACGTAAAATCTGCTACAAAACGAACCAGCAAAGAGAACACTCAACATTCACTTCAAGCAAGCTTTAGGATTTGCGGCTTGTAAACGGTATCACAGCAAAAACGCACGGGGGAAAAAGTTTCATACAAGAAGACCGCCGTCTCTTACTTAAATATTGACACAGATTCGATGATCCCGTCCACGCCTTCTTCATCCTCCAGTTCATTGTCGAAAAGAGGAAGATTTTTTATGAGCTCGCTATGGGTCATGGGACGTAGGCACAGTTTGTGTATGATTTCACGTCTCATGAACTCGCCCGCTGACACACGGCCCACACCAGGTATGTAGCGCTCACCTGACAATAAAAGATGAAAATTGGAAAAAAAAAGTTTTTTCTTAGTCAATGATAAAGGCACACTCGGAAATAAAACTTGCAAGTATCCAAAACAGGAATGTTTCTATGTAACCTTCCAACTAGTAACTTAAAAGCTCAATAACTGGCTGAGTTAATTCTTCCTAAAAAACACGCCTCAATGATTCGTTTTTAGCTTAAGCAAACGTTGAATAGGATACATCCCTTTAAGAAGCCGAATTCTAACTTTCAACGAATTCCACAGTCCTTAACAATCGTGTATCAAACTTACCCACAATGGCTATAAGCAAGGACAAGAATGATTCGGAAATCGTCAAAATCTGAGTCAGCTTCCCCTGAAACAATCCACAAAAACCCAGCAATTATTTGGGACGAGGAGAGTGAACAGTAGTTTTACCTCAATGAAATACGTGCACATTTTTTTGGATTCTGACGAGCAGAGGGTGTGTTAAACTAGCTCTACCTTGGTAGAACTGGCGCATTACCTCAAGAATTAAACTTTTCAAAAGAAACAAACATAAGTCAGCACTGGTTACGGGTGAAAACTTCCATTAACGAAGCTGCAATTAGTGTCGATTTTAACGGGGTGAACTGGATTTCACATTTGAGAAGAACTTGAGAATTCGTGTAAAGGGGACTTTGGAGCGGCGCTCAACGAATTTTCCTATGGATACTCAGAGAAATCTCAATTGTTTCTTGGCTGGCACAAAAAGCCGTGTCAGACTTACCACGAACTATTATTCAAAAGTATTTGACGCTTCAGTTGTTGAAAAAGAGGAAAAATACAAATAACATAGCCTAATACGGTTTGTCACCTGGTCATATTTGCTTTCATCAAAGTCGAACCTAGAAAATGATAGAAAAACAATACTACACTGAGCCAGTCAACTGAAACAATGGTAAGAAAGGAACTCTCACTATGCAGCAAAAACAGCAACAACAGCTTTAATGTCTCCAAACTGGTTCTTTGACATTCCCGAATACACTGTTAAAAAACTGAGCAGGCTTCATAGAAAATGACAGGAGAATATGCATTTGCTTCATAAAATTGCTTGATATTTTATCAAGTTTGGAGCTTGAGGTTAAAAAGAGAGAAAATGCTGAGACTACAAAATAAAACTTTGTGGACGGAAAAAAACATTCAAATTAACCTTGACCAAGCCATGAGATCAAACTTGTCCAACATGGCAACTAACAAATAATCGCTGTCCAAAAACGAAGCAACAACCTTCAAAAGAAAAACGAAAACACAATTTAAGGCTTCAACTTTTCTTATCTCACGTTTTTCAAATCGAAATGTTCCACTGCGGAAAAAACCTCTAACGATAACAAACCAACTTAAGATGCTGGTCAACCAACTCAGACGTTAGCGAACCAGTCTCAGTCGCCACGGACTCATCTTACTTGTCAGCGTATCATACTACGTTATTAGCGAACTTATTAACCTTTTCTAAAACCACTTTAACCCTTTAAGTTGGGTAACAATACTCCTGATACTAAAAAACCCTCGCACATTCACACAAACACGCTAGGGACAAAAAAACAACATTATCTGTTTATTTCGCTTCGCAGACAGCGAACTGAAAACAACACCATATGAACCATACCTGGAGCATTGTCACATCCTTGTCGTACATGTCTGCACGGCATTTTACATGCAAATAGTTGTATACCTGGATGGAGGCAAAACCATGTACAACTTAACATTACTTCGCTAGAAACAAAACAAAGAAAAAGAAGCGATACAAAGCTAAGTGAAGAGAAGGTCAGTTAACAGCATACTACAAGATAACGAGCGGAATGTATTTCATGTGTTACCTGATGCATCACAGCGTAACCGTTTCTTCGCCAGAGTCCAGCATGGACTTGTGCTGCCATAGCGAGAGTACGAAGAGGATACTCTATTAGAAACAGCTTAAGCCTGTCGTCCTGGAAAAGATTTACACAGTGCATATCATTCAAAGCGAATTATGAAACTTAGGTGAAAGATACGATAGCCTCACGGTTAACTGGCGGTACTCTGGGTCGAGAGGTTCAAACCAACCCGAGGGGGGGTCACTGTGTTGCAAACTCGAGCAAGATACTTAAGTACATCATACTCCACCCAAGGGTATAATTGGGTACCAGCAAACTGTTGGCGAAGCCTGAAGAAATGCTTGAGAGTAAGGAAGGGGGGAGGGGAGAGGAGGGAGGAGAGGGGAAGGAGGGGAGGGGAGGGAGGAGAGGTATCGGTTTAAAGTAACGGCCTCCGACAAATACCCGATTGCTATCAATTTAATATCCGATTTTTTTAAGTATTTGGAGGAGATAATTAAATCAATATTCAACTGGAACCATACCAATCCCGGGATACTGGGATCAAATGAAGTTATAATTGAAATTATTCGACATGGAAACAGCTGTAAACGAGAAGATTACAAGTTTTAATTTTACCTGAGTTTCGAATCCAAAAAGATCCCAAAACGACAGTTCAAATTTTTCACAGGCAAGAAGAAGACCTGAAAAATAACACAATTTAAGTCAAGTTGTAAAAATGGCTCGTCACCCATAATAAACTGACCTCAACACAGGTCAACTACTGCCTTTTGCACTTCACGAAATTTTCAAATGGATCTCTTAACACCCGTATAATCCACAGATCCTATCGAAGGAAAAACCGCTAGAATCTCGGATTATAGTTGAAAATCTACTGGAAAATTCCACTACACTTGCATTAAATGTACTTACCCGCTAAAAATCTAGAGACAGGCAAGTGAACAGAAATGGGTGAAGATGCCACATCATACCGAAATACTCTCATAGCACGAGTAGACACTGCAAGAAAACAAACACGAGGAAATTCGTCATCAAGAATAAGAAAGGATGACGAGAGAGAACTAATCACGCATACATGGCCCATCCCCCATTCCCTATCCCACATCACTCATCTCCCATACATAACCCTTTTCCATTTATAATTCTTTTATATACAATTAATTTTAGCGCGCGCTTTCTTCGTTTTCTTTTGCAAAAATGATTGCCTCTTTCTCTTTGGTTTTCAGAATAAAGTGTTCTTTGTTCCGTCTGGCGGCTAAAATTTCATTTCTGGCGACCATCTTATGTTTTGAGGTCGCCGCATGGCGCCTGTGGGAAACCGTTGAGCTTGGAGCCCCGGAACGTTTGGGTCAAGGGCATTAGGCCAAGCAGGACGTTGATTTGATGTTGAACTGCTGGGTCGAAGCTTGTTGGTTGTCTGAGCTGGTGCGTTTTTGCAGTTAGATATGCCTGTTGATACACTGCTTTTAAAAGAAGTGATGCTAACCAAGATTCTGGTCATCGCAAGTTGACTCCTGCATTCTTAATTCGCTTCCATCGACAGGTTGCCCTTATCTCCCTTAACATTCACAGGTACATGTGCGTAAACTTTTTTGCCGTAAACTTTTTTTTTCTTTTAATTGTATCGGTATGTGATCATTAGCAGAGACAGCACTTGTTTTAGAAGGGTGGCCCGCCTAGAATAGCTTGCTAATTGCCGGTCACCTAGGATTGTGATAATATTGTATTGCTAACAAATAAATAAATTGAATTGAAATTGAATTGAATTGAATTGAATTGCCGATCAACCAACCTTGCAAAGCTTTCATGACTACCTCCTCTTGTTTCTTTCTCGACTCAAGAAGTGTTTTGATAGATTCAAGGATGGCTGTGCGAAATATTAGTACCTGAAGAAAGACATCATGGTCATTTAGTAGTTCTCAACTGAATACCACTTCCCGGTAAACAACAGTTGCCAACCCCAAACCATAAAAGGATACTTTTTCAGGGTAAACATCTTTTTCAAACATAAGGGCTTTAACTGAAAGTTGCTCGCAATGCAATTTTTCTAGTGCAGATAGTTTTGAACCGAAAGTTAATTTCCTACATATACAGTAAATGGTTTTTAAATAAAGATGTAAATTCCTAGTATTGACAATACATATGTTTTTCTTCCGTACATGTGGCTGAGTCACTGTACTCATTCTCAGACACTTAATTTCACCTGAGCTTATTTGCATACGGGGGCAGAAACGGAGGGAACGGTCAAAGAAAGTAGACGACATGCGGGAACTAGGGGGGAGGGGCTGGACGACATGCGGGAACTAGGGGGGAGGGGCTGGACGACATGCGGGAACCAGGGGGGAGGGGCTGGCGGGTGACCTAAGATTCATGCAAAGGGAGTAGTAATTTACTTCATGCTATTGAAACCGGTATAAGCTGCGAAAAAAGAGGGAAAAGAAAACGGCCTATAATGCCCCACGACTTATTCAACCACAATGAAAATTGACAACATACATCACTGAAGCACCACTCATAAACCAGCGAGTAGACAGGCATCATTCGCATTTGCAAGTTGAACGCTGCCTCCCAGTCAGGCTCTATCTCCACGTGTCGACCTGTTTTACGGGTCGTCATATCCATTCCCTGAAAGAAAATCCCACAATTTGAGTCAGTCTCCCACCGTAACGCTGGCTTCCTGCAAGGATTTTCTGTATCGTTTTCAAAGATACGGCCAGAGAATTAAACAGAACTGTAGCTCCCAGTTACCTTGTTAGCTCAGTTGGTAGAGCACTGCACCGGTATCGCAGAGGTCATGGGTTCAACTCTCGTGCAAGCCTGAATTTTACCTACCCTTTATTTTGCCTGCTTAAGTAGTGGTTATTACCACGAAGATCAATGTCATCTTCAGATATGAAAATGTACAGCTGTAGCAAGGACAATCAGTTGGCGTTTAATGGGATAACTTCATTCCCACTTGAAATATATCTCACCTGCATACACTTGAGAAGACCGAAGAATTTGTCTAAAAACTTGATAAACTTCCCTCTAAGTTCCTCGGTCCATTCTGTGGGTTTGTGCAGCAGAATATACCTACGAATGATATAACTCATATTTTAAAAAAATTGTCTTTATCTTTTTTTAACAAAACCCTCACGGGAGTCCAATTGTGTCGTTACATGGGACCTATCGGGGCGTTTTCATTCTTTCATTCAAAATAGTTACTAGCCTTCAGTTCAGGAGCATTTTCGGCGAGCAAACGCTAATCTGTAGTTACCATCTTGGGTTTTTGATGCACAGGAAGGTTAAGGAGAGAAATACCTTCTCACAGGGGGGGGGGGGTAGATTGTCGAGAGGAAGAATAAGGGAGGGGATGAATACTTGTTGTCCTTGACTTCCCTCTCGGCAATGAATCGGCGAACTATACGTTGTTCACTGCGCTGCTCCGCATCCCGTTTAAAGGCGAGTGCACTGCAGACTTCATTATTACTTACTTGAGGTCTATGACCATAAAATAGGACCTGCTGAGGGAATGCTTCCGAAACTCAAAGGTTCCTTGATCTAGAAAAAAAGAAAGGTCAGGATCTGTATCAACACCAAGGAACAAAACATGACAAACGTAGAGATTGCATAATAAATAAAGCGCATAGTAGAAGACAAAAGTAGCCTAGACATTTTCCGCTAACTTACTGTTCAAAGCCGGCCTCAACTGCTCCATGAATGCATTAAGAATCACTTCCAATACATCATGTTCTAATATCAGCATCCTTGCCTAAATTGAGGTATTAAAAGTCCAAAATTCACTGATGTAAGGAATAAATAATCATCCTCGACGACAATTTTGATCCTTTTACTGAGTTCATACAGCGTAGCATTGCGTTCTATGCTGGTGCATCAAAACCAGCGATTCTTACAGCGCTCGACACTAACTTTTCAACTTACCAGCCAAGTGGCTGGTAAGAACTTAGATGTTAAAAGAATTTCAGTTTGTTTACTAGCCAAACTGGCTGGCGGAAATCGAAAACCAGTAGCCAAAACTGATTGGCTACCGTTAATGTCGAGCCCTGTCTTAGCGAACGAAAGAGTGACCCTTAAGTGAATTAGGCTGCAGAACACGCCTAATAAACGCAGCAGACGGGAAAGACTCCTATTGCGCGTAGCTCTCGATTCAAGCGATTCGCCTGCACTTGTTTGACAAAAACACAATAAATCAAGCCTGATCTACGCTTAACAAATGAAGGAACAACTCTAAAAGTAACACCATCATACAAATAATCTTACTATTGTTGGAACAGTGTAAAGTTGAACTGATAAAGATGTAACCTGTTTAAAAAGCAAACAATAAAAACTACTTCAGAAATTAACGATTAAAAAAACTGTATGCAGTTGAGCTGCAAACGAATATCAAGTAATTTTTCAAGATTTTAAAAAGTTTCCGGGGTATTCCGTCAATATTACTGTCAACATTGACTGTGAGTCGAACACTCTCAGCAGTCCATATGCCACATATTCAACAGGACGTCAATTTTACTCAATGTTATTTCAGTATTTAACTCTTTATACCACAAATCAACGACACTACAGTGAACAATGAACGCTACTCACTGAAACAGCATGTTCGTGATCATCCTCAACAAAGTCTTTTTGGATCTGACTGTAATGCTGCAAAACAAAATTACGAAAAATGATGGTTAATGCCAGATGTGGGGATGGTAGGGTGGTTGAGTGGGGCTATGGCCCATTCACAGCTTGCACACATGCTGGAATCCAAATCAACCAGGGTCAGAAACGGCGACCTACTGGTCGCCAATGCGACTGAAAATTAACTATTGGCGACCAGAATTTTAACGCAAGTCGTCGAGAGGCATTTTATTCTTTACCTTGGTAAAATGAATGGCAAATGCTCTCTTTCCCAGGGAATCCATCAACATTCTAAACAAGAGAGAAAAAAACCAACAAGTCACCACTCATACTCCGCTGAAAATCAACAAAAGTAATGAGGAGTACAATATTTCAAGTACTTGAAATTACAGATGGTTTGTGTACTCACGTGTTCATAAACAGCTTGTGGGTATGGGCCCTAGCAACTGAGACAAAAACAGTTGTTAAGTCTTAAAACTAAGGTCTGCACTTGTTTAATGATGTTCACCAGCAGTCACTTCCGACCTAAGCTTTCCACCCGTGTATACCGCGACATCTTGACTGCAAACTGTTAATTAGTCTTCTTCAGGCAAAAAAGTGACCTTTCGAAGCAGTATGCTCCGCCTTGATTGCTGGTTTTTTAACGGCCGTGAAATGCGCATTTCGAAAAAGTGTTCCCAAACAGTCACAACCGAGCGTGACTCTCCATAAGGTGAACTGTGATGCGTATCTAGTACACTTTATCGCCTGAAGAAGTCTAACAATAGGCACTCGAGGCTTTCCAGTCGTTTCACTGATTTCCACTTCGCCAACAACTCGGATCAATTCGCCGACGTGTTATGACCAGTTCACCGACTTAAGATAGACCGTCAAAAAAAAACTCTTCTCAAGGACTTGCTCACAATATCAAGTGCGTAATGATCCTTTTTGTGTCCTAAAGAGTCAGCTAGTATCAGTGTTTATAATGTCAACTTAACTGTCAGTCATATAAAATTATTGGGTCTATGAATGTTCGGTCTCCTCTTTAAACAGCTTAAAAGACAGAATAAGTAAATTTGTTTCATGACACATCGTTCAATCTTAAGTCGGCGAACTGGACATAACACGTCGGCGAATCAACTCAAGCTACCGGCGAACTGGACGTCAGCGAAAAGACCGGATGTCAGTCGAGACGTCACGATCCATACCGGAAGTTGCTGTGTCGTGAGACAGACGATGATGCTTTATTACAATAATCTTTTTCAACACAATTCTTATTCACATTGTGGAGAGGAAAGGACTGTCAGTCTAATTCATCAACTTATGACAAAGGTTAAAAAAAAACGGTTTAACTTTCTGAAGAAAATGTGGTGCTGCGTTCGTGGGAGTATTACTAAATAATTTGGTTTTATCAAATAATGTCAATTGATAATGATAATGATATGATAATGTCAATTGGCAACCGTTAAGAGCTGACGTTTCGGGTGATAGCCCTTAGCTCTAACCGTAGCCAATTAACTGCTCATTATCAACTTAGTTGATAAAACCAATTCAACTTAAGATACAACCGAAAAAAATGATATAATTAAATTTGCGATAAGCAAATCAAATGCCGTCAACAGTTACCGTACCTTTCCACAAGGAGGAGTCAGACAATAACACTCTGCTTAGAAGATCACAGTCATCCCTCCGTACAAGCACAGCGTTACAGAGAATCCTTCGCAGACCATCTGTGTAGGAAAGTAGCTGTCAGTGTCACAAACACCTTTTTTTTCAAAATTTACGATTGCCCTCCCAACATCCCAAGTGGGTTATCATATTGGTAAACTGATTAAAAAAAAAAAAAGTGTGGTCTATCGCTTTTATAAAACAAACTGAAATTTTTTTTAATTTCGATGGTTTACCACTGCAATAGACTGTAGGTTTTTTTTACCAATAGGGGTGCTCCTACACGTAGTAGAAGTTCAAATGTTCTTGAAGTAAGCGTTATAGAGGTGATATTAAAAAAAATTAGATAGCCACTTGATTCAAGCTCGAGTCCTGTTCAAAATGAAAATATTTGCATACATGCAAGCGGCTTTTGTTCTGTGTCATGAAGCCGCGTGTCAAGCCCTTTTTCCTTCGAATAAAGGTGGTAAGTTTCTAAAGAAACTGTGGTGCTGCGTCAGTGGGGGCAACAAGGTAATTTGGTAATATCAACTAAGTTGAAATTGTAAATTGGCCACCATAAAGAGTTAAAAAGATGATGTTTCGAGCGTTAGCCCTTCTTCCATTCGCTGACGAAGGGCTAATGCTCAAAACGTCAGCTTTTTAACTCTTTACGGTGGCCAATTTACAATTTCAACTTAGTTAATAATAATAATAATTTAATTCTTCAAATTACCTTTGTCTTTCGTTTTTGTTTCGCGTGCGAGAAATAGTTTCCTCGAAACTGCGGATCGAGATCCTGGAAAAGTTCTTCCAGCGTCTCAATACTCGATACTCGAGCCTCGATTCTCGATCCTCGATAGTCTCGAGGACTGAGCTTCGAGTCGACCGTCAACTTACCTTTGAGCAGTAATGTATGACAGTTAGGAAAAAAATATCAGAGCGCACGTTGCGTCTAACTTATATAGTTATAATTTCTTAAGGTAGATGAATCACAGAAGAGAATTTTAAAAAACTGACATCCTTTCACAGATTACAACAAAGTTTTCTAAAAACATTAACACTTTCAACAAACCCGAATAATTGGTAATCTTATTCAACCAGGTAAGCATATGAACAGCACACATCTGGTGAGCAATGACTTTAGTATGCATCACGCGACACTTCAGTGGCTTCCGACTTGGTCCTGAAGTACCCTGCTATGTAAACCATGAGAAAACTGGGTTACCGAAAGAGCATTCATGTCCTTATATAAACTGACAGAACCATGAGAAAACTGGGTTACCGAAAGAGCATTCATGTCCTTATATAAACTGACAGAACCATGAGAAAACTGGGTTACCGAAAGAGCATTCATGTCCTTATATAAACTGACAGAACCATGAGAAAACTGGGTTACCGAAAGAGCATTCATGTCCTTACATAAACTGACAGAACCATGAGAAAACTGGGTTACCGAAAGAGCATTCATGTCCTTACATAAACTGACAGAACCATGAGAAAACTGGGTTACCGAAAGAGCATTCATGTCCTTACATAAACTGACAGAACCATGAGAAAACTGGGTTACCGAAAGAGCATTCATGTCCTTACATAAACTGACAGAACCATGAGAAAACTGGGTTACCGAAAGAGCATTCATGTCCTTATATAAACTGACAGGTGGGTTTTTTGCGCATTTCATGTACTTTCTATCCAAGCCACCACCCAAAAAAAATCTAGGCCACATTCCTTAACCCTTTAGTTCCCGTGAGTTCTGCAAGATGTATGTGTTGCTGAAAGAAGCGTAAAATTTTTTTGTTCGAAAAAGTCTTTCCAAACATTCCCACTATTTGCAGGTTGTATCGCACCCTTTTTGCATTTGTGATACCTTTATAATTTTTCTGGACATTTCACACTGACTGTAGCTTCCTTTCCTCACAATTGATCTTCCCTGAGAAAGAAAGCACATACATAAAAGTATTGATGAAGCTGTTGTTGGTTTATAATGACCAATTTACAGTTACCGAAAGCACTTTGGTAGTTGACAGCTCAATGAATAGTCATGGAAAATGTTTCAAACAGAGCAAACTAATGAAATAAAAACGAAAATGATAAAAAAAGACACCTTTACACCATACACTGTAGCTCTGGTAAACAACTGAAGCTACGTAAGGAGAGGCATCATCTCAGGCCTCCTTCTTGATTGGAGTACAGTGTAGATTTTCACCTACCTCCCCTACCCTCCCCTTCACCCCTCAGCTTCTTGTATGTCCCCCCAAAAATACCTACAACTTGATGCTGAAACAGCTGTTTCTTGTGTCACTCTTCAACCTAAGTTAACAGCCTTTTTGCATTAAAGAAAGCAAACCCTCACTTTAAATATCAGAATATTCAATTATCATTTGATGATACCAAAAAAATTACAAATGACTTTCAAGCAGAGAGACCCATGATCCAGTCAACAATTATAGATGTCTCATGATTGTCCAGGCTTTAGACTTATGTACCTCTCTATCCACGGTATTTGCAAAAGCTAATGCTTGGTGTTGTGTGCATTCAGGTATTGCTTGCTGTAGAGTTTGTATGACCTGTCAAGTTAAAGAGTTCATTTTCAAATTTGACTACTTTATGATCCCTACTAGCAAAAACCATACCACATTGCAGACAAGTACTACCATGGTTCGACACTAACGGTAGCCTACTAGCCATAGACTAGTAGAAATTCAGTTTTGACTGCCGGTTTTCGATTTCCACTCAACTTGGCCAGTAGACAAATTGGAATTGTCATTTTTAACATCTAAGATGTCACTGGCCACTTGGCTAGTAAGTTGAAAAGTTAGTGTCGAGCCCTGAGTACTCCTGTGAAAAACTACTCTTGAGATGATCCTTAAGCCAAAGTAAAGTTAACAAAAGCAAGATTCATTTCATTTTGCATGCCTGATAAAGAAGCCAGTTGGATAAATGTGGTAATGTTAGAGTATGAAAGCCAGACCCTCAATTTTTTTAGACATAATAACTTAGCCTTTGCAACAAGCTGATTTTATTCACAGGAGCACTTATGGCAGGTATTCAATGTACTGTATCCAATCCATGTAATAAACACCAAGTAAAAACTTAAGCCTGGGACGATAAAAAAATTAAGACTTGGCTATCAATTGGAGACACCAGTACAAACAAGGAAGAACCACACCTACAAATACAGTACAATGAAAGGTGACCAATAACCCACCTCATCATAGGTATGAACTTCATCATTAAATAACATTGTGACAAAATTGTCATCATTACAACTGAAATTTAAAAAGAAAAAACACTTTATAAATTACTAGAATTTTTGAAATATTCAGATTATTAGCTCAACATCTGCTTTCACCTAAGAAAATTAACATGTGCGCTGCTATCTTGAATTACACAAAGGATGGAAGTCCTTTTTTGTCAAACACTTTTTTATGTGGCTAAATGTTTGGCTGTCTAGCATCCCAAACAGAATGGCTGAAAAGAAAAGACTCCATCTCACACATATTTACTAGACGTACGTGAGAGCTTTCAAACGGGAAGAAGAAAAGCAGTGAAGGAGTTGACCTACTTGAAACTGCCTTGTCCAAAGTTCAAACATGGACCACAAACAGCCACAATGACCACTAGAATCTGGTCATGTGACTTCTCGCAGTTTGCAGTGAAACGTACTCAGAAACAAACTGGGATCTAAAACTGTCTATTAAGAACTGTCTGGCTGACTTGGGGAGAATTAACATTCAGATCTTGATTGTGAAAGGTTCAGGGTTAGGAGAAGGCTACATCGAGTGCAAAAGATCAATTTGCCTGAGGGTGTTGTAGGAAAAACAATTGGATACAGAAGAGTTGTAGCCATCTTTTTAGCAGTAATATAACTGTTCCAAACTTACATTACATCTAAGTAATCTGGGAGTTCATCATCCTTGTCCCAGCAGATAAGATCAACACAGTAGTTTAACACAACATTGTAGATATCAGCACCTCGATCAGCTATATCTGGTGGAATCTTGTCAACTGGATTCTGTAGCAAAGAAGAAACATTACACATGAAAGCAGCAACCAAGAAATTGTGGCAAAACAGAAGTTTTAACAAACAGGGTAATAGCTGTACATGCATATCAAAACTGAGACATCAAAAACTAAAAAACCTGATGGAAATTGATTCAAGTCTTGATCTAAAACTCAACACTACATTCACATTTTATAGAGATGGCTGGAACTGTGAGAGAAAACAAGTCAGACTTCTCGTAAAATGCCCATTTTTTTTAACCCTAAGAGTAACTGCTATCTAATTTCTCCATACAATATCACCCCTAAATCACACATTAGGGTCACAAGAAAAAAGGAAATGATTATCAACTAAAAAAAGTTCTTGATTGTGACACAAATTCTCCTTGTTAGACCCATAGGAAATGTATCAAGAATAATATGGAGAATATGCATAGGGTGAGAATGGTTCACACAACTACAAGTTCATTTTTTTAATTGTTTCCTTTGGCATCACCATTGAGACATCTTAAACTCTTGATTTCAGGAAAAGAGAAACTTAGGAGAGAGAAGAAAGAAAAAAGAGGAAACATTTAAATATATACATATCAACTCTAACTTCAAACCTCTTCCATTTCAGCATCTCCCATACTTTGATGTGTTGTGCAGGCCACCCCATCTTTCCATGCTTCAGCATCACCACAGTCACAAAATCCACCCCCACCTGACGTGTTCATCTGCAAAAGTTAAAAAAAAAATTCTGGGATATGATGCTTTGGTAGATCTAGAGATAGACAACATGCATGCCTGACTTTTTATCAATACTGAAAATTTCCAAATGAATCAGGGATTATTATTAAAAAGTACAGGTCAGTGGGGGATTAATCGTCGGAGCTAAATCAAATTCATGCTCTGAAGATCATTCTGTTTCAGCCTGTATTACATCCATTATGGAACTAGTTCTTAGTAAATTAAATAAGCCAATCAACCCTTTTTCTTCTCAAAAATTCCACTTTTTTCCCAACAATGAAACCTGACCCCTAAATGAAAGGAACAATTTCAGATTTGAAGGCAGGAAAATGAAAGATGGAACTGTATGTATCACACATTTCGCTGTTTCCAAAACTTACTCATGTAATCAAGTTAACAAACAGGAAAGTAACAGGAAACTTACCTTGTAGTGATGGTTTTTGTGGATGCTCTTCTGAAAGCAGTTGATACATAAAACGCAAGTACTGTCATAACCGCAGTCTCTAAAAAAGTAAAAAAGGAATCATTGTTTATTGAAAAAGTTGTCATATACATTTTATTACTCAAGAAGAATTTACAAGAATGTCTACCCATGTCCAACTTCCTTGAGATAGTTAATACAATGGGCCTTTTTCGATATATCAGAATTCAAACTTGGCTCTGAGGCTTGGGGGAAAGAAATCAGATTGACATTAAGGAGTGAATAATTAGTTTCTTTTATTTTATTACCCCAAGCCTCGATACTATATTAGAATTTTAATATATCATAAGATATTTTTAGCCAACAAGTGGTGAACACTGCACATTGTTGAAAAAGGAACAAATAAAGTCTTTGGCTACTGATCAGTTTGATTTCTTTCTTCTGAAGCATCTCAGTATGCTGGAATCTTTCAGCAACCTCATGTCTGCATAAAGTTTGGGACAACACGTTCACTTAGGTCACACGCATTGCTACAAGTTTACACCAAATCAGTCCTTTACTGGTATTTCACATTTTTTTTTAGCAGTAGTTTATCTCAAAGAAAATCAAGACATTTTATAAAACATGCACTAAAATTAAAGCTATGCGAATCGTGTTTACTCTAAACTTGTGAGTTGCATGGCAGCACAGTTGGTATAAAAGTTTCAATTGCACATAGCAATGTTAAATATTAAATTCTAAATATTAAAACTAAAAATTCCCAAATATTGACTATGATATTCACTGGCTAAGAGGGGAAATAAGATATAATTTTCAAAAACTCTTCAGACTGTCCCGAGGGCTCGAAACAGAGGTAAAACTCGAGACAGACACTATCCTGTTGAATAGCGGTTTTCCTTGATTGTTCACAGGACATTTGTCCATGCATAATATTATTGCCAACATCACACGCAAGGATTCGGGCATTTATTTCTTTATCAAACCTGAAGTAATATAAACCATCTTAAATCACTAAAACTAATCATTTTTCTTTTATCGTCCATGTCAGCAAACAATAAACAAAACAACTGTCATAATTTTCTAGACAAATACACGTCTTTGTGAAGCGTTTGATCTGGTATAGTAGTCTTTAATTCTGCCTCTGAGAAATCGCATAAATTTTATCATATGACGCAGCAAAATGAAAAAAAAAAAAAACAGACAAACAAATCTGAACGGAACAAAGCAGAACTTAATAACATTTACATAAACATACGATCGCGACAGAACAAAAAGCCTTCACCAAGGGAAAACAACTAAAATATCCTTTTTTTAAAGTTTCATGCGATGATTTTCGTACAAACCTGCATGAATAAGTCGGCTCTCCAACTTTAAACACTTTTCCACACAGTTGGGAAGGCGAATTCATACTTTGCAATTTTTGAAAGCCAGTCTTGGGGTCCTCTCCACAAACGAAATACTCCAAAGGAGAAAAAATCGTCCGTTGGCATTTCTCTTCGTTTATCACGGCTTTCAGATTTGGCTCCAAATGCAGCTCAAAACATTTATAAACGTGTTCCGAGAGGTGCTTTGAAAATATACTCCTAAATTCCCTCAGCTCTCTTAATCGCCAGTTAATCCATTTTTTTCCAAGCTCACCGAAGTCGGATTCTAGATTTTCTCTCATCTCAACTTCACTCATTATCTATAGCAACAGACAAACGTAACAACCACCCCACCAATTCCACGACGTTTTACATTTTTGAAGAAAAATAAAGCCCTATATGTAGATTTCCTTGAGGAAAAATGGCGGAGATTCCACAAAACGAAGGAGAAACCGCTGACACCACTGCTCTGTGTCAATACAAAAAAAAAAAAAAACAGGCATGCAATTCGTGCAAGATTCTGCCGTGGGATCAAATTTCGATCTGCTCTTGGATCAGTTACTGATGGAAACTTGTTTCGCTTCTTTTCAAGAAAAGAAATGTGTATTACTCGTTGATTTCTAACACACTTCTTATCCAGGACATTTGACTTAATTTTATGAAATCCAAGCTTTGAATTTTCCCCCTTCCTATACCTTTTCCGGCCCAGCTTTCATCTATTCTATGTGATTCGTGATATTTGGACGAACTGGCTCAGTTTTGCTTTGAAGCTGATTGCAATGGAGGCCTGTATAAACGATAACAAGGCCAGACCACAACACTCGGGTGTTACTTTCTCTATTTGCAAGAGCTGTATTCCCTGCTAACTAGTACAGAGAAGCCGGAGAAGGAGCCTACGGCCAGTTTATCATCCTTATCCAAGAAGACTACCATTTTCAAATGTCATAAGAAAATTAGCACAGTCTCCAGTTATTTCAAGGCCCTGAGTATTGGTTTGGTCTGGGGCTTGAAACAAGTTCAGATGCCAATTCAATCATAATAAATATTGAAAAAAATGATTGCTCTCTTGATCGCCCTTAACTGAATAGTTCAAAGGTTCAAAATTTTTTGTGTGTGTAGAAAAAAAGGGGAACGAGAGCGAACAGGACCCACCTTCGTAGAGATGACTATGAAGAGTAAAAAATAACGTTTACGATTGACATGTAGGTTAATTTTAAGAATCTGATGCTTTAATCTTCCAATATACATTCGTAGAAAGTTATCAGAAAAAGTAGAAAAATAGAAAGCAAGCGTAATCGAAGGAGAGACTTGAAAAAGCGCAGTATGAGTTCTCCCATTAATCTTCGCAAGTAAACGAGGAAATTTCAGGCATATAACGATGAATCCTTTTTAGTCCTTGCACAGAAACAAATCAAAAGCAGCAATGCACAATTCTTCTGTCGATACTTTATGTCGTCTCATGATCTTCATGATTCCCGTGCATACGTTTAGGCGCGCACAATCGCGTCGTTTGCTTCAAGACTTGCGTCGTGCAAATATTCTAACATACTCTCAGCTTTTTTCTGTGCGTCAGGCGCTTGTGTTTGTGTGTATGTCTGTGCATTCATTTCTGCGCGCGTGATATACATCGCTGCTGCGCGTTTCGACTCTTGTAAGTCTTCTAACATGGTTGTTTGTCGATCTTCTTCCATTGTAAGAAATCTCATATAAACTATATTTCTAAGAGCGTTGGATATTTCATAATTCATTCTCTGTGTGAATACTGGCTGCGCAGTATCGTCATCTAAACCATCACCTTCTAACGAGTGATTTATTTGTCTTTTGATGCTCTTTCGCTTGGCGCTGACTGTGAAGACCAGTATCCCAGATAACACTTCACTGAGACGATAACACGTTTGAACCGACCACCACGACCAAGCTTCAATATACTTCACATTGGAATAAACACCAAAAACTCCAGCGCTGGAGTAGATATACATGACAGAAAGGATAAGATTATTGACACCCGAGGCGTAAATTAACCGGATGTAGAGCAATGCTCTCTTGTCCTTGACCTCCGTGTGACCGTAAAGCTTTTTACCAAGTTTATATCCAAGGATGCAGTATCCAATACCAAGCACTGAGCCCCACACAATGTAAACTATCTGGCAGAGAAGGAGCATGGCTTTAGCTTCCATAAACTCCGACACGACAAAATCACTTGTCAACACAAGAATGAAATGCGCTATAATGATTTTGATGATAGTTCCAAATGTTTGCATCTTTTGAGGAGCCAGGGAAATTTTAGCAGTTTCGATCAGAACGAGAATAACTAGAGAATCAGCTGAGGTAAGACACGGACTACCAAGCGACCACAAGACGCGCATTGCAACCGCGTTGTGTATTAGGTCTCCTTGGTGATACGGATCTGTAAACAACACAAACATCCGTGTGAAGCCCAGAATAAACATCATCACGTTTAAAGAGAAGCCAAGGTACTTTTGATTCAGCCCTGTGTACAGTCCAGTTACAATGAAAAATGCAGAATAAAGAGCATAGCCCAGAAATACTAACGCAAAGAAATAGACATGAAATTCCCAAGCTCCGCCCCATTCCTTGAATGCAATAGACCATTCTGGGCCGGCCTCGGGCCAGGACTCCGCCTCAGTTTCCGCTTCCGCTTCTTTTTCCGCTTCCGGATGTACTGAAGGAGGTTCAGACTCAGGTGAAGACAACGAAGATGGACTAGACACCTGTCTTGCAAGGATTCGCGACTTTTTGGGGTTTTCGAAATCATTTTTCCTGTCTCTTATGCTTTTGGCAAATGGAAAATCGCCGGCTGGTGCAATGTTTGTTTGTTGTTGATCTACAAGCCTTGGTCGATGTATTCGCCTCGGCTGCCTTCCGTGACCGAAAGCGGCCAATGTCATAAGGATCTGAAATTAAAGACAGCTATAGTGTTAAAATATCTAACAGGCAGAATCAGTAAAATATCTATTGAATGTTTTATTATTTCTAAAATACGTAATATATGATACTGCTTATCAAAATACTGGTTGTTTGAAAACCGGGTAGCGCTGATCCAATAATGAAATTTCATGATTAATTGGTTTGGATTTTTCTCGAACAAAAGAATTTATTGTAAGCCGGTCCAACTTTTGGAAGGATTTTTCTTGCTGCATAGTAGAAATATGAGCAACACGGCCGTTTTCAAAGCTGCAAAACTGATTGGATCAGGATATTGTAAGGGAATTCCACTTTCATCGCGTAAATTGCAGATGCATGAACTTACGCGTAAATATTATGCAACTGGCTCACGTTACTATGAGACCGGAGTAAAATTAAGTTTCTTACCAAAAAGCCAAACCACATTCGACCATTTCCCATCACAATTTCATTAAATTTCACTTGTTTCCGACACCATTACATTCCACGGAGTAAAAAAAAAAACGAAAAATACGAGAGGCTTCAAAACCAAGTTAACCGTAATGGGAAAGCTCAGCATCTCGACGTCATAGACTATTTATTACATCATAGCTACTCTATTTATTACGTATTTCATTATTAATGGTGTGCACGAACTTAATTGGCCTTTTCTAAGACATTTTGCTTCAGCCTGTTTCAAAAAACAACTAACATAGTATTTTTAACATATGCTACGCTAATATTGTTCCAGCAAAAGTTTCTGCAAATGTTATCAATCAATGATTGGTGCGGGAGGAATACGCCTTGCCCTGTAGTCGCGTTGTTATGATTTTCATGCAGATTTTTGTTCTTATACCGAATTCTTAAATGGCTGCATGAGAAGACACACAGGGCTTGCACTGTAAGTATCTCGGAGAGCTCCATACAATTCCTTATAGTAAAATTATAATGAATTGTATGGAGCTTTTTACCATTAGTCGAGGTGCGACGGGTTTTGTCACGTATGATCCACGCCAGGATCATACGTAACAACACCCGCCACTCCACGACTAACGCTAGAAAAGCTCCATACAGTTCCTTATAATAAAACTATAGGGAATTGTATGAAGCTCTCCGGGATACTTACAGGGCAAGCCCTGCGTGTCTTCTCATGAAAAACGTCATCCTTGGAGTCAGTTGCAATTCTGAAAATTTCATTTTTCGTTTATACATCCGCGTCTGTTTCAGTTGTATAAGACCCGGCCTGATCAAGAAAATTGGCCACCGCAGAGAGTTTAAAGCTTATCAGCAAGACTAAGTTTATATTTTTAGTAAACAGTGGAAGGAAATTTCATCGAAGGACGAACACTTCAATGGACCCGCCAGGCAGGCTAAACCTGACGAAGGGCAAACGCTCGAAATTAACGTTAGCTTTAGAAACTCCTTACGGTGGTCAATTCATATTAACGACGCAGCACCACGGTTCCTTCAGAAGCTTACCCCTTTTTTGTTCAAACCTGTGAAGGACTAGCATCCTTTTCCACGGAAAACGAAGTATTTCACATTGGTTATTGCCCTTCAATCCTTGCCAACGTTGGCAATGGAAATATTGGACCGTCTAAAAAGAAACACAACATTGAGAGGGGAGTGAGTTCTTTGAAGAAATTTTGATGAGAGTTGTATGGCCCAATGAACTTACCAGATGATCTCAATGGAATTAACTGATACGAACAAAAAAAACCGACAAAACGGGGTAAAATGGACAAAATTTTAATCGCTAGTCTTAACTCCTTCACAGCAGATTTCATGTTCGTGATCAGTTAGACACTTTGTAAAGCTATCTTTTCCCCGAACAAACTGCCCTCTAGATGTATCTTTGATATTCCTTTTTTAATTCGTTTGATGTGCCTAGGACGTTTCCAGGTCGATTACAAGAACAAAGTTTAGCCCTTGTTTATCAAAATTGCATCCTCAACAATCCTTTATTTTAGCTGAACTATTTATCTGAACATTTATTCTTGGGAACAGTGCGAAGAAGGCCGAAATATATTAGTGGAAATACATTAACTTAATAAAATAACCCCTCTTAGAGAGAGAACCTGACGACCACTGAGTGCGTAAAACCGTATTTTGGGTTAAAACTCGTGTAAATACTGAACCGGCCTTCATCAAAGTTTTGCCTTTTTGGCCAAAGCAGGGATCCGGGCTATACCGACTGCACCTAGAAGAGTTTGCATACTCACGTAATTCTTGAGATGCAAAGATAACATGCATAATATGCATGATATAGGTTAGCTAGTAGGATGGATAAAGAAGGCAGCTCTAAATTCCCCCTAGATCCTTTGTTTTCGGTTTTAATTTCTCTAGATAAGTGGTAAGTGTCTGCATACAAGCCTTCTTAGGGGATCTCAATGAGGCGATGGCTTTTAAATCACGTCGTAGCTTATTCTACCACAGACGGAGACGATTTTGTAAGAGTAACTCGCACAAAAAAGTTTGAGGCAAGTCCATAATCAACATGGAACTTTATGCATTTTGGCAATAAAACCACATTTATTTGATTGCAAGTGGTACAAATAACCTTTCAAAACACACCGCCTTGAATTACAGATGCAGATGTTGGACGAAGGGATTGGTATTATCTAGAGACCATGCAATTTTTATCTCCAAAATCAAAATGTCTGAGCAAACTTATGAAACCAGCCGATTTCTGATGAGTGTAAATTGTCTTCGTGTTCTAATGTGGCTGAAATTAAAGTCACTTTGGAGGCCGCCATGTTTAATCTTGCTCAGTAACGTGATCATGTCTCACCCCTCTCTCCATATCCCTTGACGATCTTTTTCAAAAGATCAGGAACTATACTCAAAGGCATATTTTGACTCAAATAATAATTTTCCTACGCATGCAACGGCCATGGGTGTGCAGCAGGCCTACTGGCTGAGTTGTGTTCAAAATGGCATCGATCATTGTCTAAATTTTAGCACATTGGATAACAATCTTTGAACAGTAGTATGGTTAGGTTACTCATCGAAATCTCAAACGCAGTAAGATGTACTCTTTAACATATGATTTTCAATGGCAGAGATAAAAGTCATATGGTTGCTGGGGCATAATTCTCCCTTAATATTGAAAACGGCTTCCCAGAATTCAATTTTAATCCTGAAAACTGAGTATGTGGATGTTTTATATACAGCCGTTTCGAGAAAGGTTGTCGGAAAAAAGTGTAAAAGTGCAGCGAGAACTCCGAGAGGTATTGTGGTTAGTTTCCGAGTCACAGTTTCATGACCTCAGTACATTACTGTTCAGCAATTTTCTGCCATATCTGCCATATCTGCCATATTTGGAAGTTTAATTTCAGACAATGTATCCCAAGTTTCATCAGAGTTTTGTTTATTCGAGTCAATCTTCTTGATCATAGCTTCTCCAACATTATCAGTTTGGAATAAAGGCTTAAGTCGAGTCGTTTTCCCGGGTGAAAAGGCCGTTTTGCGCTTTTTTTTAGCATCGTGAAGAGCTGTAAACATGCTTGATCTTCTTTCTTGTATGCTCCTAAACTCAAGTTGCAGGTATTCCTTTTCCACCTCCTCGTCGTCACTCCCTAAGTCGTCAAATGTATTTCCATGCGGATACATTTTTGTTTTTCCAGGCAGGTGAATGATAGACGAAGTTGTTTTTTTTTCTACCCAGCATTCCCCGCTTCCTTTTATCCGGTGACCCGGTTTAGTCCCGTACCAGTTCTCACCGGTCGCAGCCAGGGCCATTTCACGGAGAGCGGTGAAAAGGCTTATTACACTTCCATTGTTTCTGTCAGCGGCGACCTTTTTACGCTTGAAGCAATTTCTGAACCTAGAAGTCCACGAAAATGATTGCGTAGAACTGATTTCTTCCGGAATGATTGTGTCTAAGCTTTTCTCATCCGTTAACTGACTGACCGCCCTCTTGACCCGGGTCCGTTTAGCACTAACTGTGAATATCAAAACACACGCGAGTATTTCGCTGAAACGCGACATCGTTTGCAAGGCCCACCAAGGCCACGCATCTACAAATTGAATATCTGAGTACACACCAAAAACTCCAAACGCTGAATAGACAATTATTGCGCATAAAAAGTAATTTGCAAGGCCGGAAGCGTAAATGAGAAAAATGTATATTTTGTCCGCTGTTTCTTTCGGGTTTTTGTGACTGAAAAGCTGTTGATCCAGTTTATATCCAAGTACAAAGTTTATAGTCCCAAGTACGGAACCCCACGTTACAAAAAACAACTGACAAAATAACAACATGGCTTTCGCTTCCACGTAGTCAGACACCACACAGTCTGTAGTTATTACGAGCGCAAAATGAAAGCTTATGATAATTATGTTTATGTTTGCTTTCTGGAGCTTAGGAGGTGCAACGGAGATTTTTGCCGTCTCTATCAGGGAAAGAATCATCAAACTGTCGGACGCTGTGAGACAAGGGCCTCCAAGAGACCAAATGACGCGCATCACCGCAGTGTTGTGAATCATGCCCCCTTGATGATATGGGTCCAAAAACATGACAAAGGCCCTGGTGAACCCAAACACTGACACCATGATATTGAGGCTCACGCTCAGGTATTTACCTTGCAGGCCATCATACACGTTAGCTATGACATAATACCCGGCGTACAAGCCAATCAAAAGAAATATCGTTGCATAAAGGTAGACATGTAGCTCCCAGGCCCATCTCCATGTCTCGTATGCCTGTTCCCACCGGGGGCCTGGTTCTGGCCAATTTTCTGGCGTTGCCGACGGTTCAGTTTCTCCCTGTGGATATTCTGAGGTAGGCTTCGTGTATGGGTGATTTTCACTTTCGGGCTCTCCTTCTACTTTAGGTTCTCCTTCTGCTTTGGATTCTCCTTCTACTTTAGGTTCTCCTTCTACTTCAGGCTCTCCTTCTACTTTAGGTTCTCCTTCTGCTTTGGGTTCGCTTTCTGGTCCTGATTCAGGCTCTGCCCTAGGCTTCCTCTGTGCTCGCTCTGTCAAATAATGAACACTTTTAGCAAAGAACATATACCTTCTTGACATTATATTCACAACGAGTCCTATGGTTATCAATTCTACGGTAAAAGGCAAGGAAAAGAGAAAGAGTTGGGCGAGTGGCTACAAAGACAGACAGACATGCATCAGTACGAACGAACGGACTGAAGGACGGAAGGACAGAAGGACGGAAGGACGGAAGGACGGAAGGACGGAAGGACGGAAGGACGGAGGGACGGAAGGACGGAAGGACAGAAAGGAAACCCTAATATCAAATCCCTCATCTAATATTTTCCAAAAAACAGGCCGCTAAACTCTATTT